CTTTGTCACACACCAAGAGGGCGACGCTGCCGCCAAGGAGATTGGAGCCCGGAAATACCTCGAATGCTCCAGTTTGAGCGGCGAGGGCGTCGACGACGTCTTTGAGGCCGCCACTCGCGCCGCCTTGTTGACCTTCGAGAAGGGCGAGGGAGGCGGCTGCTGCGTCATTCTGTGAAGGAAGCAAAGCCCCATCCATCATTCACTATTCTGCCCTTTCGACCGACAATGAGTGCAGGCACGACGCAAGCGAACTGAGGTAATCCTGAGCGAATTTTTGCTGGAGAAATCAGGCTGGATCACAGAACCATGAGAATGCGGGCTACTTACCGTATGTGAACATCACGCCGGGTCCGACCCAAGAGGCACAGAATCACCTCAGCCAGCTCCCACATTGTTGGGCAGCTGGCTTACCCAAAAAGGGCCCCAAACAGGCCTGGGTGAATGTCACTTGGTCGGTACCTCAAACTCTCAACAAGCTCGCCCGGTTCACACACCTTTTACAGCTATCGCGAAAAAGCATGCGAGTTCAACTTTAATCCTCTCTCTCTCTTTTCTTCCCCTCAAGCGGCGTTACAAACAGCAGGAACAGCGCAAAACACTCAGCGGAAACGTTATTTATGGAAGAATCTAAGGGACTAGCCCTTTTTTTTTCTTTCCATTGTCTGTATTAATAGGACAGCAACCCACATAGAACGATTGCACCCAAAAGTTCAAGACTAGGAAGCTGGTTATTTGGGAGCTTTGGAGCATCCACGTTCTGCTCTCTGTCAATGAGAGATGGCAGTCACCTTACGCAATAAAACCGATTAAAAGTTTCAACCCCCCCTGATCCAGAGCCTTTCCAAATACGTTAATTAGTGACATGTGTTTTTTTTCTTCCATTTTGTACACTAGTTCATACAACAGATAGTATGCTACAGCGGAATTGACACTTGGCGTGTCTAGAATTTTGGTACACGGCTGATGAGCAAACCCCTTAAGACCTTATCCACCCCCCTTTTTTCATTCTTTTATTTTCCCACTCCTGCTCGTCTTCTTGCAACGGCATCATCTACCGCTTCCACTCGTGGTTCCACGCCTGTCGGGCAGGCGTCTCGCTCTGGTAGCGCGCGTACTCAATCGGCACGGCATTGGGTCCGTAGACGCCCTTCTTCTCCTGGGCGACACGGTACAGCCACCCTTCCTCCCTGGTTCCGGGGCCAGCCGTGGTGCGGAGCTGCTCGTTGGCGGTGTACATGCTCTGTTGGATGCGGAGGAGCTCCCTCTCGCGGGCCTCGCGCTGCTGGCGCTGGAGGAGGAGCCAGGCGCGGTGGATGGTCCAGTGGCGGAGATGGCGGTTGCGAGCCATGCGCAGCGCCGGGGGCGCCTCAGCGAAGAGCTGCTGACGAATATTTGCTATACGGGCGACGTATTCTGGGTTGATGACGTTGTCCGACTTGGATTTGCGGGCGGCGAGGGGGGTTGTGGTTGAGAGGGAGCGGGTTGTCGTGGTGGTCATTGTGACGGCGGCGGGTGTGGAGGTGGTGAGGGTTTGGCGGAGGCCGCTGCGGAGAGGTGCGAAGGAGGCCATTGTTGTGATTTTGGGGGGATTGAGTCTTAAGTGACGGCTTGTGACGAGGCTGGGATATCAATCGTTGACGGGATCGGAAGTGGGAGGTGTCGGGCGGTATTTTGGAGGGCGGCCTCGTCGTTTCTTGAGCGGAGGTTTCGGATTTGCGGCGCGAGGAGTCTCGTTCTTCTCTATGCGCTGCTGTTGATGACGCTTCTTGCGCTTGGATCCTGCAACGACTATCTCGGCTTGGATGTCGTCTTCAATCACGACCGGGTGGTCAACTGCAGGAGCGTGTCGGGCTTCGGGCTCTGGATCGTCGAGATACCGTAGTCTGATTCGGTGGTGCGCGGCTACGACCTCGTCGGGGATCGGAACGTTGGCGAACACGTCGTGGTAGTCGTTTTCGAGGGAGAGATGTCGCGGTGCTGTTCGAAGGAAGAGAGCGCCAGCGTCGGGGTGGTGTCTTCCCACGTATTTTGCGTAAAGGGAGTGGATTGACTATCGAGGGGATCGTCGTTAGTAAGGTGAAGGTCTGGCGATGAAGCTCGGTGGGAAATTTTGGAATGGGGAATGGAAGATGGAGCATGATTTATCCGGGCTCTGCAAGCTGGCTTGTGCCTGCAGGCGGGAGTGGATGGGATGGGGGAGTTGAGACCCCTGCAGGGCGTGACATTTTAGCGGACCCTGCTTAGACAACTTGCAGCTGTGCAAGTCATCCGCCACCCACAATCATCTACACTATTTCCATTTGCCATGTAAACCATCCTCGGCGACAGGGAAAGAGGAAGAAGCAAGGACCTGGGGATTAGGAAACCCTTCGCGACTTACCTGGCAGATTGATGCATCATACACCAAAGCAACACTGTACTCCTTCTGCTCAAAAACGAGTTCTCTAGCCTCCATCTCGTCCTCCACTTGGTGTGATCTCGCAAGATTATTTAGCACTGCACCTGGCGACACTGGCACTAGACTTCGATTGAATGACAAGACCATGAAGAGGGGCTTCAAGGTCTTGATCAAACTTTCGATGTTCCGGGTTGTATCTCTGGACCAGAGCCCGTCAGCGTCGTTGTACATGTCCCAGACGAGCCAGGCAAACTCCCGTACGACTGGACTGGAGTCGAGGAAGCGCGCGTATGTCGCCGGGAGGCCTCCACCAAAGTTCAACATCCACAAGGTGCAAATTCTCAAGAGGAGCTCATCGGATGGATCGTCGACCCTTTTCAGCAGTTCTGTGCACTCTGCTGGAAAGTCCAGAGTCAAAGAGGAGGAGGCGGCGGGGAATGCCATGAGGGTCACGAGCTGTGCGAGAACCTTTGGAAGGAGTATCTGCAAGCGCATGACATCCTCCCTGGGATCGCGCGGGACGCGACCACGATAGGCGAAGTTCAGTCCATCGTAGGAGAAGATTGGGTCTCCCGCTCTGTGGCCGAGGAAGTACCTCGTGTGTGCCAGCGACCGGGCGACCCTGAGTACCTTACTCTCTTCCACGTCCCCCTCCTCCTCCTCCTCTTCCTCCTCCTCCTCCTCCTCCTCCTCCTGCTTATTCAGACTCGTATTCTCTTCCGAGACGGCGGCGGTCAGAGAGGAGGGTCTCTCGCTAGACAATACAGTCGGTGGAATGGTGCTCATGTCTAACTCAAGCCACACAGGGTCCCAGTGGGCCTCGTTCTGGCACATATCCATCTGTACCTGGAGGTGTTGTCGCTGCTCCTGAAGCCGCAGCGCCGTGGGTTTGACGAGCTGTTCATCGGCTCTCCACAACAAGTTCGCGTCTGGGTTGAGACAGTCCACCGTGAGGCCCATATGATCCCAGAGATCGAGGATGGAGTCCTCGAGAGCAATCTGCTGGCTCCGTGAGACTTGCAGAGCTAAGAGCGCGGTCTTACAGAGGTCGTTAATATCGGCACGGGTTGTCTGCCAGATGCTTCGGAGGCCGTGCCTGTCGAGAAAAGCGTTCCAGCTCCGATGGAGGCCAGCGTCTCCTGGGGGCCTATCAAAGGGACCAGGAAGACCTAGGGAGGACATGCTGGGTATATTAGTTGGTGGTTAGTAGCTTTCCGCGTAGTCACCAATGTAAGTGATGGCGAATACAATGCTGCTGATTGGCGAGGATGACGACGAAGAAGTTGACGATCGAGCTGATCAATAGTCGGCTCTTTCTCTATTGAGTCTACATACTTCATGGGTTAGAGCAGGAACTATCCAGGAGATCATTCCTGGGCGTGTTGTTTCGGAGAAAAGTTATGCTTCGGAGAAAGACCATATTTCCTCTTCTGGCCTTGCTGTGGATTGCCATCAGGGACTTGATGTTCAGTGTAGGTAGCTGGCATAGGGCACCGAAATGCCTCCGCCCTTTCTATCAGCTCAGAATTCTCATTCATTCGTTATCTTCAAATTGATTGCTACGTAAGGTTATTCTATGGTTTGACTGGTCGATGATGAAGGCTGGATGTAGTCTCAGCTAGATCAGATCGCTTACGACCACCACACGAAAGGTCATATTCACCTTCGTCAACAGCAAAACCTTTGACTTTCGGCGACTACGTTCAGCATTGATATCTAACTATTGTTTACCGTAACCAGGCGTGTTCTCCTGTCTGTGGCTAGATTTTGTATCAATGAAACCCTCAAGGTACGTAGCATATTGCAACAGGACAGAGTAAAAGTCGACCTTTTGAACCTCTTTGACCATCATTTGAGGTTCGTATGAGCAGAATATTAAGTTTGTGGTTCTTCAGGAAGGCATCCCGTTGTCATAACTAGGACGCATCTCATAGGACTTTCATGTCTACCCTTATCCTTGATCTACACCGTGAAAGCCTTTTGCAGATCCATGTCTCGAGGTCACTCTGAAAAGACCCGGCATCCGGCTTGACCAGCCTTTGCTTCTCTGATGTATGCAATGCCAACAATGGGGGCTTCATGCTGATGGTAGTAACCCTAGTTGAGTTAGTGTCTGATAAAAGCTGCCATCTCATCTAGCGGCTTTCTGATGCCGACAAACGGACGTTCTTCTTTGGTACGTGCGGGCCTCCACAAAGCCGGTTTGCCGGTGCCAGCTGCCTGCCTCCCCGCATAACCCACCGGCGCACCTATTAGTGGATGCAGCTTCATGGTGATGACCGAGGATGTAGCTCATCAACACCACTCTTCCATGTCGCCATCCATGCAAACATAGAGCTAGGCGTCTTAAAAGTCAAGGCTTCCTCTTCCCCAATTTCCATCCGCGAAATTCGAGACCTCATCATTTTCTCCAGAAAAGCTTGGGGCATACATCCCTGACTGGGAGCAGCACATGTCACAGAACCTGCAAGAAGACGTCTAATTGAACTATTGTTTCCCGGAATTCTTCCCGAAGACCCCCACGATCGTGATTCCGCGTCTCCCCGAGCCGGAACTTGAACCACCACAGTAACTCATCAAGACTTATTGCTTCGAACCAACCATGGAGCATGCTCTCAACGCTGAAGAATTTCTGGCCGATGTCACAGGAGGAAACATGGCAGTCGTACGGTGGAAGCACACACCAGATGCCTCAGACTTTGACGATGCTGCGGCGTTTGAGATTATTCGCAGGGCCATCATTTCAGAGATGAACGACCCGCAGAGGCTCCGCAAGGTCGCGGTCGAGATTGCGGCCTTGATACCAGCACTTCGGCCCTCTGATGATGTTTTAAAGTCTGTGTGGTACCTGTTTGTGGGGTTGGCGCAACAGACGTCCTCTGGAAATATTGCGATGCTTGATCTGGTGGTAATTCTTGACCATTTAGCTCTGTCGCCAAGGACGACGGCTACGGTGACGGTGGTGAGTTTTAGCTTGGATTTTGTCGCACAATACTGGTTCTGATTGCTTTGCAGGATGGTTTCGAGCGATTGAGCCGTCTTCACGGTCTAAACCAAGTCATCAGAGACTGTATGACCTGTAAGTCTACATCACCAAAACCTGAAGGCAACTCTCAAGGATCGTACGCTGACATGGAGGAACAACTCCCAAAAAAGCACCATACCAATCGACCGACAGGATGGAAATCCTCACCCGCTGGATCAACCTCAACGCCTTCGCCTCCCTCCTCTGGTCCTACAACCTCATCGACGGCCGCGACTACGCCATCCAACAACTTCGCACCGCCTTCGAAGACCGCCGCTCGTCAGATGCCAGTGACCGTGACGGTGCCGACGCACGGCTCATGGCTGCTGCGCAGTGGGCTATTCACTCGTGCCAGCGTCTTTATCATCTCTCCGTGACTTCTGAGGCGACGTCGCCGGCGGAGGAGCCGCAGCAGACGACGATGAGTGAGGGGGCGGGAGAATCCAACGGGAAGAAGGCGAGAAAGAGCAGCAGCAGCAGCAGTGCCGAGAGATGGAGGTGCGGGCCGCGGTTCAAGGGCCGCGCGGGGTTCTCGTTCAGGAGGTGGGAGTTTTGGCAGCAGGCGTTTGAGGAGGCCAAGGAGTTTGGGGATTGTGGGAGCGAGACCAAGGTCGAGGCTGGGGCGGCGGCCGGGATGATGGAGAAGGCTCTGTATGCTGGATTTGAGGTTTAGAAACGCGGTGACCTCTCTGGGCGAGCTTCCTGGTGGTGAATTTTGCCACAGCTGGATGGAATTAGAGATTGGACTTGCACAGGAGGTTAGACTGTTTCCGCATACATCGTTCTTGGGACTGGGGATTGGGGACTGCAAAGCTCCGGAGAGGGCTCTTCCAAGTAGTCAGAGCTGGTATCGAAAAGTCCCGTTGATATTAGCATCGTCTTGTACTTGAGGAGCTAAATTCAAGATAGCGAAGAAGAAAAGGGGTGTATGATGATTGTAGTCTTCGCCCAGAGTTAATTACCTTCCAAGCCTGTGACCAGCTCGGCCATATTCATTACTCGTTCGCTTTCTTCGTCATTGAATACAAGCATTTTATGCAGATACGAGGAAATGTCTTAGGAAGCCATGTAGGATGCCCTTCTTTGCCATTATTCTGTCCCCTTTTGTCTCTACAACTGACTTGTCAAGACGATCCCATCGACAGCTTTGTTTGGTGTCAGTCTACTTACTTCATGTCTTGAAATCTCCCCCCAAAGAACGGATACAATTCACAAAGAGCTTCAGTATTTAATCTCTGATGTCTATGTCCGCTGTGCCTGATCAACGTTTCCATCTGCTGACAGAGGTCACGGCCGAGCTGTGGAGATGCAAACGCAGAAACGATATGCTACAACTTGATCAAAGACTCACATCAACTACCGGCATTTGAAATTTCCACCTTGATCCATTCAGCCTGCAGCAAGCCGCTCTTCTTACTTTTCGTCTGAGAGCTCTTCTTTCGCCGCGCACGGCACTTGTCAGACTGGGGCAGGTTCCTTCCTCTTTCCCTTCCTCTTCTCCTTCTTCTTCTCCTTCCTTCTCTTCTGGGCTTCTAGAAAGACACCTTCCTTCTCTTCTTCCAACCTACCTTCAACAACAACCTCTCTGCCGCACTTGCTCCCCAAGTCAGGAACGACTTCTAACATCGTAAGGACGACGTCTTTCTCTGCTGCCAGACTCATCACGCATCTCTCGATCTACAATCTCACAGCTGACTTTCCCTACTGATCAGACCAACCTCAGTACATATTCTGACTGGAAAATCCCAAACAACGCCGAGAAAGACCACTGCATCTACATCCATCACGCCGCCATGACGCTCTCCAAAATTGACAAGCAGGCCTACGTCGCCAGCGCCATGTTAGCAGCTGCCAAAGCTCAGCGTCAGGCCCGCGCCAACAGGACCCCAGCCAAGGCCCTCCGCGCCCACGTCGCAAGCAACACCGTCCCCACCGACATGGACGTCATCGAAGCCTTTCGCTTCAACTGCGTCTTCACAATGGCCGACAGACGCAACCTCCTCATCCTCTACCGCCACCTCGTCCTCGACCACGGCGTCTCCGCCGCCGCCATCCAGAGCTGGATCGCAGAGGGCAAGGAGACCGTCACCGCCCGCATCGAGGAGCTCTTCCGACCGCATCGCGATAAGATACCCACCGTCCGCTCAATCATGGCGGAGAAATGGTACCGCAAGAATCCCCACGTGTTTGACCATATCGGCGGCAGCCGCACCGAGGAGGAGAGAGAAAAAGACACGGTTCTCCAGGCGATCCTCTGCGGTGCCACGCCCGCGGAGAGAATGGCTGGCGGCTTCGGTGCTACTCGTGAGGTTGAGACACAGATGCGCCTTGTGGAAGCAGATATCATGGCGCGCGCGGATAAGGGGGAGCATATTGCCTACCTCATCAGCAGGCCACAGATGGTCGACGAGGCGGTTGTCTTCGCCCCTTGCAACAGTACCCACGAGGACAAGCTGCCGGCGGAGATTAAGATTGTTGAGATGACTCCTGATGGCATGTGTACCGGCGTGCTCCACGTGGCCGCGTCTCTTGACGAGGCCAAGGAATATGCCACGAATGCGTACTACGAGGCGGAAAGAATGAAGCGGGAGGGAAAGCAAGCTGCCGAGGGCAAGTGCAAGGGCAAGGCTGGTGATGGAGAGAAGGCTAAGCCTAAGATCGAGGCCAAGGCCAAACATGAGCTTGATTGTATCGAGGGCATGGTCTCCTCACTCAAGGTTGATGATGTTGACTGATCTCTCATCCGGTGAGTAGCATATCCGCTTCTAGGCATCCCGTGGACACGAATGCTAATGTGTGGTACAGATAGAGAGCACCGCGAGACATTGCTCAGGTGCAATATTCGTCACCCGTCGTACATGTGAAGGATGGGACAGAACGTGGTCGGTTTGAGGGAGGTTTGGGAGACAGGTGTTAGTTTCTGCGGAGATATTGTTCCGCTTGGATGGATGGTTGATGTGAGGATGTAAAGGAAACGTATCTAAGGATCTTCTACTCCTCTCCAGAAACCATTGGCACATTTCGTCAAGCTATCCAGATAGAATAGCTCAGCGGGGGCCAATTCAGTCTGTTGAGCACAGCTCTCTTTCCCCCAAGTGTAGTAAATCACTACACTCGTACGAATCAATCCACCCGAATATGTACGCTTGTTATGGTTTGTAGCATTGAACTTGAGAGAAAACGCTGGGATTACGAGACCCCAAAGTAGGAGCAAACCCACGACGATTAATGGTGATGATTGTACGTGTGAGGGAGAAGTAGAATGCCTTAGCAACCCTGCCTAAATGTTCCTCGAGTATAGTGACCCGGCGAGATGGATACGAGTGCCCCCTTCAGGGGCGTTACCCGGGACGGAGCAACGAAGAGAACCTTTTTTGATATGAGAGCAGCTTTCCCTATCGGGCTGATGTCGCATTGCTTCGCGGGAGGCACTGGTCGGCAATGGCATTAAGTCTCTGTTCATCACTCGAGCAAAACAGCACAATATCAAGGAGAACATCACCCATCAGGTAGGCATTTATGCCCTGACGCGTCCTGTATCCATCGTATCATCACGGGACGCTCTACTGCGCTTATGCTGGCAATTCTCTACACTTGAGCTTCGAGAGCCACGAAGGACGATGGCCACAAGTACGGAACAATGGTTCTGGCAAAATGGACAAGTCGTCTGTTTGAAGATCGCAGGGCCTCGCAAGAGGCGGTGGCAACGGGATGTATTCTCAATCACACTGGAGACGAGTTTACCCGCCGTGTTTCGCCGACTGACCGGCAGCAAAGGTGATACGGTAGAGCTGTAGCAAGGGTGAAGCATCAAAGTATGCCGCATAGATGAGGGCCAGGAATATACTTTGTCGTAATCAGATTCGAAAGGGAGAAGCGGGATCAAGTCCGACGGCCGTCAGTGTAAGTGAGTGATGACACGTTCTGTTTTTTGGTCCCACTGTGAATCAGTTCAAGACCGTCAAAGTGTCGGGCAGTTGTCGAGCGTAGATGAGAAATGCGCCGAATTGAAGAAGCGATTCGAAGAAGGTCCCTTGGCAGAGTCATGCGGCGGGCGATCCCGAGATCTCAACATCAACGGGCTGGGGATCGAATTGTATCACCTCCCAGCTAGTGCAGCCGGCCCTCTGCCGACGCAAACACCAAAGTTGATGACACCAGCAGGCTTGATGGACGTTGCACATTGCCAAGAAGTCTGGCCCAGTAGCCGACAAAAGTATGTGCTAGGGATTGGCAAGTACGGATGCACCGTCAAAAGGATGCCCCAAGCGGCTCCAACTTGCAAGCCGGCGCCGAACGCAACGCGACTCGGAGCTGCCGCCGGAGTTTGGCCGAAAGACGGTTATCCGGGGGAAAAGAGGACGAGTAAGATGGTGTTTGGTTCGTGAGCGTTTCATTGTCGCATTGCGTTGGGGGCTGTGCAAGATGAAATTCGACCTCGAAGGGTGGATTCGATGCTCGAAACAAGTCGGAAGTTGGGAAAAGACCGCAATCTGCATATACTGAGTGGCAACAATGAAGGTGCCAGAAACTACGTGAATGGTTCTCAGGTTTGTGCTACTCGTTATTGCATAGCCAAGAGCTTCAACCAAAGGAGCATGGCACACATTTGGGGAGTGAGCTGAAAGTTATCGTTGAGAGAAAGCCAACGCTTTACCCAATAATCGAGGTTCATGAGATGACACCAACAGGTCGCAGGCTATATCAAGATGCTGACGGCCCCGGGTGAGACCAATGCGGCTGAAGAACAAGCGCATTCAGCCGCTCTCGAGTCGGTGACACGAAATGCGATGCAACTGGGCGAGGTGCGCCTTGGGGGCTGCTCTCTCGCACACTGGGGGCGGAAAGACGACGAGGTGGACCTGATTTCGACTCATAATTTTACTTTGCCGTGTTGATTCAGGACAACTCATGAGTCGGGATCCTTTTTCTTCGTCTGGCATATACGTAGTACAGCGTTAGCCATCGCCGTTGTCAATAAGGTCGTCGTCGTCGTCGTCGTCGTCGTCTCCATGGTCTAAACTCACCGCGCATGAGTCCTCACGCAGCATGTGCGCAGTAAGCGTGTAGCGGGATGGAGCCCGAGCTTTTTGTCATTCACATGTGTCGTGGGCTGAGAGACGTGGACGATGGCTATCGGGAAGGCCCCACCCTGCCGTCCAATGGTGGAGTCCGCCTGAGAACCCTAGGCCTGAATGGGTTGAACTGCCGTGGGAAGAGAAGGCGGAAAAGAATGTGTAATTATTCACTGTAAGACCACGACCGTGGCCCAGATTGTACGAAGTACTTGGGGGAGAAAAGACGATGGCGACGCCGACACCAAATTAACGCGGGCAGAAAAGGAACTCTGTGTGAGGTTGCGTCATTTGTCTGCCGGATCGAACATTGGTTTTTGTTTCTTCCCGCTTGTTCGAGAACGAAAGCCTAGGGCGGCTGGCTGGCCTGGTCCTGTTCGAAAGCGGATGTGATGTACTATTCGCCTACCAGGCTTGCTGACCGCGGAAAAGCAAGCCTGCCACGCATCCGCATGGGTTGTAAGCCTGGTGGGATGTAGGAGATGATGGAAGCTGTGCTAGTGTCATTCTCGAAGGATCGAAAGATGAACACTGGTTGAACAAATTGGGTTGATTGGCTTGCAGAATTTGGAAGCCAGACGACGCTGCTCACGGCCAGTCCGCCGAGATGAAGAACACCCTGCAGCCAAGTACGACTTGCGGTACGGATAGTCCTCGAGTGTTTGCTTGCCCATGCACGACAGACGGTGATTTGCTCCAAGTCGTTATCAAAATGAGCCAGAAATGGACGAGGGCTGCAGGGTGTTGCGGCACCACCTAAGCCCCTGCAGCAGGCCGATGTTTCCCACGGGTGTGGTCACTGGTCAGCGGTCACTGTGGGTGGTGCTGTGATGAGGGTTTCGAAGTTGAGTTGGCCGATGAAGGATGAGGGGTGATTTGTCTGCAGCAGGCGTGAAACGAAGTGCTGATCTGACTGTTTGTCTGATGGACGTCTGGATTCCCAACCTTGTAGGAAAGCGGCATAGATCCGAACCTAAAGAGCGAAAGAGAGAGTGATTGACAGGGTCAAGGAGGGATGAGCAGGGGTCTCTGCACCGTTGCAGTGTTGCAGTCTTGGACCTTGGAGACGGAAAGGTGTCGAAGTGTTCGTGGGTGAGCACTGTGGGTGAGAGAAAGTTTCTAGGCGGTAATTTTTGTGTTTCTTGATGGAAATCGGTAACCGGGAGGGACGTCTGATAGCACCCAAGGCTGCATTCGTTTCGCAAGTGCATGTTGTCCGGGGGGCATCGTTGGAGCAGAGATGAAAAAAGGCGCGAAATTTGAGTTTGGGGACGCGCAGAGGCGGTGCTGGATCGCTTGTCGCTAATGTGCTTTTGGGAGGTGAGGCAGCGGGGATCCGAGAGGACGCTCTCTTCGGATTGAGACGACGGAGGGTGGACGACGTAGAGACGTACATACCAGCGCAGGCTTATCTAAGCGGACTTGGAGACATGATCGTGATGTACACTGTACATCTGCACATCACGTGGAGACACTCATGGGGGCCGCCCACCTCTCATCAAATGTTTGACAGAAAGCAATGTGGGCGCACCGAATGACTTCTCGGTGCATCCCAGTAAATTGTAAGTTGCTGTCGACGATGGTACACCAAATACATAGTAGTGTGAAGTTATTGCCATGGAACCCAGAAGTGGAGGAGAACTGAAATATCTTTGACCGCGGGGTCTGCAGCCCGGGGTTAAGACAGGAATCACGTCATCGCTGTTCAAGTAAAGTGTCGAGTGCGCGGCATGCTGTATCTGGCGCATGTTTCTGGCAGTGTCGAAGTACCTCAAGTGCTACCTACCTACCTTGAGTGAGGGTCCTGAAAGTTGAAGGTGCTTTCCTCCTGTCAGATACATAAATACTTTGTACCGGGCAGGAGTGAGAGCTGAGAATGAGCGCAGAGGTCAAGAGTACTCCGTACCTACCGACAATGCTCTTACTTGTAGTGGGTTGGTAGCTGCTGCAGGTTGACGGTTGGCATGGGGAAAATGTACCCACGTGCTGTGCCAAGTTCCTTCCCTCGAATATCGCTGGATATCTGCGCCTGCAAACCAGCAGAGGTACTCGGACCACAGAGGAGGGACATGGAAAGTACGGATGCAAGGGGTCCTTCCTTGCTTTGCAACTGCCAGGCTCCCCCCACGCTCTTCCCCGATGATTAATTCCCTCCACTCATCAAGCTTCGCTCCCACCGTCACTACTCCGTCCAGTGCGTCCACTACGGACACTCTCACTCATTTCCATGACACCGTCGCACAACACGACACGAACTGGAAAAGGAAGCCAACCTTCATCAATCACTACAATTTACAGTTACACGGTGGACGACCGCTACAGCACCGCGAACCGGCAGCAAGGAGCAAAAGCCGTGAACCATCATGCGATACCTTGCTCCGTAAAGAACAGCAGAAACAAGCAAACACGTACGCAAACACGCAAACATCCCACACCATCTGCCGTCGAACAGCCTTGCACTCTCTGGTCGCACTTTGGCTTCGCAAACTCGAGGCTGGCGCTGATCTTGCACACAAATCATTGACCGCCCTACCCCGTACTCTGCAACGCGCAGCACTCACTCTCTCTCGCGCTCGCCTTCACGTGCCTACCCTCGTTCCTCCAGCCAGACAGACAGCCACCCACAACCCACTATCCGTATTCCGTACCAATGCGCAGATGGGCTTTGCTCGCTCATTGCTGGGCCGGCTGTTCGGGCTATCCATGCTCCATCCCACTCAGACCAGCCCTGCCAAACTGCTACCCTCAGGGGTCTTCAATCTTGCGCCGATGAACCCTGGCCCCTCAACACGTCCTTGACCCGCACGTCCCGGCCTTCAATTGACTCTGGGTCCTTGGCTGGCACTGGCAAGCTTGGCAAACTAGGAGCGAATACCACTCGTCTGATTGGCACTCGTTCAGGTACGCGGAGCCTGCTCCTCTTTGCGGCTTGCGATTTGCGGCGTCAGCGCGCCCTTCCTTTTTCTCAATCCCAGTTCGATGCTCGATGCTCGATACTCGATGAAGCGGCCATATCTGGTTCGTCGATCCCGGCTTCAAGGCCCCAAGACAACCCTATCTCGTCTCTGTCTCTCTCTCTCTCACAGCCAGCAAGGAAGCAACACGCAGCTGTAACTTTCAAGTACCTTGAGCACATCAAATGCCTCTGTCAACCTAGGAACTTTCAACTTGCCCATAATGATTGATCTGGGAGTCTCTGGAGGGCAGCGGACTGGATGCCGACATACGTACCGGCAACCGGCCCTTGAACCGGCGCAACATGATGACAATCAAGTCCACAGTCTATCCGATTTTTGGGCGGATGGAACGAACCGACCAAGAGGGGTGGCCACTTCCAGGGGACCCTCGCATTGCTCCTGCATCGAGTGCCTATCCTCCCCCATCACGGATGCTGGACCGGACGGCGGATACTCACACAACCACCTCTTCCCATGTTCGATGTTCAGGCTCTCACATCTCAAGTCACTCAATAATCTGGCTTTGGCCAAGCCATCAATGACAACGAACACGCGTCTACCTATGGCTCTGGATCTGGTACACATGCGCAAATTCATACATGTACTGCCCGCAACCACAGACAGACACACTCGCGAGACTGGCCCATTGGCGGCACTGGCCAGCCTGCAGGACTGGCCCTGCAACACCAACTGCCTTAGCCCAAAAGGGGAACCATCCTATTCCTGTTTCCTTTTTGCCTTTATCTCTGGCCCATCCTCGGACGGCTAGAGGTGGCGTCGCCCACTAAACTCGTCTCGTTATCGCACGCCAATGCTACCAAGACGTCGAAACTCGCCGGGCTGCCCGTCTGGGATCCCCTCAGATTGGCCATTTTCCCTCTGGCTGCCCTCTGACTGGCTGCGACCTCTGTTGACCCCGGCTCCCAAACCACTTTGTTCACTGCAAAGATGACGGGGATCAGCACCTGAGAGATACAGCGGGCTTTTCCACTTTTCTCCAGCCCAAAAAAGTGAAGGGTACGGGGTCTTCGGGCAGCTCTACGGATACTGCGTAGTATGTGTGGGCGAGGCAGAAAGAACAGAGAGCAGGGAACCAACTGCGGATGCTCTGTAAAGAGCGAGAGGCACACAGGCACACAGGCAAGCCGCAAAAGCGAGCTCGCTGCCCACCACCGGGATGAGCATGAGCACTGATTCTTTCAAGTTGGCGCAGCCCGTCGCCCATCCCAATCCAAGACCGTCTGAACCCAGGCAAGCCAGGCTGTCAGGGGAGGACAGGCTAACCAGACCGGCCGAGACAGTCAGATTGAGCAGAGAGTGAGAGCCCCTCAGTCAACGGCACACCACACACACCACACACCACACTTTAGCTGGCTCTCCTCTCCTTCTGCGGTCTTTTTCTTTTCTCTTGCTTCACACTCCTTACTCACTCTCCATTATTCTCTTTCTCTCATCAGCCCTCTCGTCTCGAAACGACAGGGCGATGCCAGCGAGGAGACAATCATAAATCTGAATCGTCAGGGAAACTGGAACACCGAGATCCCGACATCCTGCACTTTAGCAGCCAAATAAACGCGGCCCCGACATAGATCCAACGGCCGGCTGCCTTGCACGTTGGCCCTGTCCCTTCTTCATCCCATCCGATTTCTCGGGTCCAACAGACTAGAGACAGATACACACACAGAGAGAAAGAGAGAGCCACGAGCTGCTCGTCCTACCGCCATCCAAGAGACCAGCCTCTTGGTACGGCCCCGTTGGAGGACACGGACAAATACTCCCGTCCTCGCTCTACGCACAAACATCAGGATACGCCCAACATCAAATTACCCTTTACTCTTGGCTCCTGGCAAGGCTCGATACCAACAGTTCCTGACTTCACGCCCGCACTAGCGAAGATCCCGTGTCGGATCACGTCAACTTGGATGCAGGTCCAGAGAGACAAGCACCGAAGCCACTCTCCCACCGTTGTTGATAGAACCAACCCTGTTCTCGCTCACTCTACCGTCTACGTTGCCGGATACTCTCTCTACTCTATTCTTTATCCCTACTCGGTCGCCCCCAAGCCCAAGCCAGCCTGGCCTTGTCACTCGGAGGCATTCCATCGCTGCCCCCGATACATAGAAGCGCCAATTCCCTCCCCTCCCACCCTTCCCAGGCTTTGATCATCCTTTCACAACTACCTTACTTTTCTTCGTCGTTCCCGCGTTGTGCCCAGCGCTACATCCTTGGCCCCCCGGCCTTTTGGAAGTCTCGCACTCTCCACCCTTCCGCCCTCTTCTACAGTTCTGACTGCGATACACTCCTTTTCCATCTTATTTCTTTCTACTGTTCATTCCATCAAAGGACGAACGACGAGTCGATCCGTTTCGTTCCGTTCCATACCGACAATCGCGCAATATAGCCATCTCTGGTTTGCCGACACTCTTTTTCACACCATATCGACGACCCATTCAGCGCCTTACGCACGACCGACCGACCGATCGATCGATCGGGGCCATGTCCGCAAATGCCTGGCCCGGGGCCGACAGCTCCTCCCAGCACTCTGGGCAGCTGTCGCAGAAAGATCTCGTCCTCGACCAGCAAATGATTAAGCACCTTCTCAACAGATATGGCCAAGACAAACTGAATCTTCTTATCCAGGAAACCACCGGCCCTCGTGAGTGACATTCGATGCTGACCGCTCCTTCGTTGCCGTGAACTAATTGGATGCAGAGTCGGATGGTGCATCAATTGTGTCGTCGGCGCAGTCATCTATCCTGTCGGATGACCAGTCGAGCATGTGGGATACCCAGAGCATCAGAACATTCTCCGACACCTCGTCAATCACTGGCAGCATCATCTCCAATGTGTCTCGCGGCACATCGAAAATCCTGGGTAGACGGAGTGGAAGCAGTAGCGCCGCGGCTGCGGCCCAAGCCCAAGCGGCGCAACAGGCGGCTCAGACACAGCAGGACTCAGAATCATGGAATGGTATCGACGTGCCCAACTCGTCCAACACAGCATCCGACGCTGCATCAATCTCCACCAGTGCCTCAAAACAAAAGGGGGCTTTCATGTGCGGATTCTGCAAGGAGGAAGATATCACCAAAACGTGCACCCGCAAAAACGATCTCAAGCGCCATATTGAAGACTTCCATAACGTCAATGCGCAATGGTTCTGCCGTCATCGTGGTTGCCAAATGGTATTTGATTGGCAAGGCGCCTACAAGACACATTTGAAGCAGGCGCATGGCGGGTCGAGAATGTCCCTGGACGAGGCCAAGGTCAACCTTTGCCCACAAGTCGTCTTTGCATGCGGCTTCGACAACTGCCTGCAAGTGTTCGAAGCGCAAGGCGACTCGGACGCAAGTGCGACCTTCAAGGAGTACGTGAGCCACGTCGTGAAGCACTTTGACGAAGGATCCAACAGTGGCGATTGGTCATACTCAGCAAGGATACGGAACCTCCTCAGACAAGGCCAGGTACAATCAGCTTGGAACGAATCGATGTGGAACGAGGCGTCACGGACATCTCTGCAATGGAGCCCCCAGACGTCTGGCATTTTGAGGAAACGACTCGAGTGTCGCCATGTCGGAGATGTCAAGCTGCTTGTGCAGTACGCCATGATGCTCGGCTCCGATCCTAGCAGCATTGGAAAGTTCCGCGAAGACTTCGTCACCCCTGTTGCCGATACGTGCACCTTGCACATGCCTGGGCACAAATCACGACAACCGACCATTGCCGCTCCTCCTGAGCAGCCGGCCGACCCTTTCTCCTTCAAGATATCACGCGGCGCAAACCCTGCCCTTGCCGCTTATATGGCGTCTCAACGTAGAGTCTACGTTCCCAGACAGCAGCGGGTTGTAAGGCCACCGCAATTACATCACCCTCACCAGCAGGTACCGTCATCCAACCCGATGGCCAGTCACTCCCGGTTATCGCAATCATCACATTCATCACACACAAGTAGCCATCACGGCCACCCACAGGTTCACCACAACAACCAGAGTCACAGCACTTTGGGACATTTCTTCCAGGCGATGCCCGAATCACAGATGTACGACCCGAACAGCAACGCCCAAGGCTTCGGACCTAGCAGCGGCGCAATGCACCACAATGGAATCATAGCAGACGATATGCAGAGCCTAAGAAGTATGGGCGGAGGCGCACCCGACTCGACAGACGTGGAAATGCAGGATGGTTTGATGCCGGATTTCTCTTCGCCCTACGGACAACATTCAGCAAATCTGACAAGTCCATCCATCAACGGTCATCCAGACGGATTCTTCCCTCCCGGACAAGCTTATTAAGAAGCTATACCCGAGGCTATTTGCGACGACCCGACAGTACCGACGACACGAGTGAGCGGCTAGCAACCAGTTGCAGGCCTATGTATCAACAAAATTAGAAGCACATTATAACTCCAGCCCCATCTCGCGCAAGAGATATTTTTCCTTGACTCTTATTTCAATCCAATTTCTTTTGTCGGCGTTTTCTATCAAGATCATATACCCAACATCGGTTGAACGCCATACTGGGCATATTCGCAGTAACTACAGCCTTGGATGACATACGACTGGACGGACGACGGAAGAGCAGGATTGTACATGACAGCTGGTTGCTAGACCGGAGTCGTCCGAAAGTGTCTCGGTACGAACGAGTACGGCTATCGTGAAGGCGGTTATACTCTTCCAGAGAGATGGGATCAGGAAAGCAAGGACAGACTCGGGAACATGGGACGCGGCCAAGATGGAACGGCCTGGATTTCCGTAAAGCACTCTCAGGTGAAAGCAACAAGGCTTAGTACCGGATGCGTTATACCCACCGGCGAAACGGCTGGAATCGACTTCTTAATTTCTACCA